TGTGGAAGAGCTGAAACAGAAAATGGTAGAAACACTAAAAGGCATCAAAATCGACAAGTTCAAAAACCGTTTTAAGCAGTGGAAAAAGTATCATGACAGGTGTATTGAATCAAATGAAGAGTCCTTTGAAGGTGAATGAAGTTTAAACATGTAAGAATAAATACACAATTTTTTATAAATAAATTCTGTTTTTTTGCAGTCCCCCTCATATACTCAGTCAAGGCAGGTATGAGGTAAGATAATCACTTTCTGCCTTGGAGTTTGGGGTAGAAGGAAGAAGATTATAAGCTAGCACAAAAGTGAGTATTAAATGTGCTCTTGCTTGGTTGTGCATAGTGGCTCATGCCTGGAGTACCAGCACTTTGGGAGGCTGAGGCGAGAGGAATGCCTGAGCCCAGGAGTTCGAGACCATCCTGGGCAACCCGGCATGACCTCATCTCTACAGTAAATTAAAAAATTAGCCGGGCATGGTTGGATGTTCCTGTAGTACTAGCTACTTGGAAGGCTGAGGTGGAAGGATAGTCTGAGCCCAGCAGTTCGAGGCTGTGGTGGCCGGGAGCGTGCCACTGCACTCCAGCCTAGGTGACAAAGTGCGACTCCAACTCAAAAAATAAATAAATAAACAAAAAGATTGTTTATACTCTTTGTGCCAGTGATTTCATTCCTATATTCTTTGTACTAGTGATTTCATTCCCAGAAATTATTCTTAGGATAATGAGATGTGAACAGTTTTATAAGCAAACATTCACTGCAATATTTATAATAGTATTATCTAATAGGAGATTTGTTAACATAGTACATTTAAACAATAGAGTTTTAAACCGGGCTCGGTGGCTCAGCCTGTAATCCCGCGTCTTTGGGAGGCTGAGGTGAGTGGATTACCTGAGCCCGCGGGTTCGAGACCCGCCTGGGCAGCAAGACCTCATCTCTACAATAAATCAAAAAATCAGCCGGGCGTGATAGTGCATGCCTGTAATTCCGGCTACTCGGAAGGCTGAGGCGGAAGGATCGCCGGAGCCCGGCAGATCGAGGCTGCAGTGGCCAGGAGCGGCCACTGCACTCCAGTCTGGGTGACAGAGTGAGACTCCAACTCAAAAAAAACCAAAAAACAAACAAACAAAAACAACAGAGTTTTATATAGCCATTAAACATTTATAAAGAGTTTCATGACATAGTGACTTTTATACATTGGGTACGAATGATACAAAACTAGTAAAGACAGTATTCATCCCTAAAGTATTATATATCAGCTAAATGAACAAAAGCAATAAAGAGTAGATGGAAAGAGCCATTAATATGTTGGTTTTTCTGGATGGTCGAATTTTGGAGACCAAGTTGCAAGAACGCATTTCTGTTTTTGTTTCGTACAACTGACACTTTAACAAAAAATGTTCTTCCAAATCTGGCTAGCCAGCAGGCTTTATGGAACTGTAAAGTATGGACTGTCAAAGAAATTTCTGCTTTTTTTGAGTTGGAGTCTCACTTGGTCGCCCAGACTGGAGTACAGTGGACGCTCCTGGCCACCGAAGCCTCGACCTGCTGGGCTCCGGCGATCCTTCCACCTCAGCCTTCTAAGCAGCTGGAATTACAGGCATGCGCTACCACGCCCAGCTGATTTTTTTATTTATTGTAGAGATGAGGTCTCGCTGCCCAGGCGGGTCTCGAACCCGCAGGCTCTCCTTGTTCTTGATAAGCAACAGTGATGGTCTCTTTCCTCAGACCTATACAGTAATGCAATTTCCTCATGAGCTTAAATGTTTTTTTACACATCTGGAAGAGGGTCATTCTTTTTACTGGGAGCAAGGGCAGGACTAGGTTAATGAGAACATCTTATTCAAGATGACAGCCTGTTACTTGGCATGTAGCAGAGTAGGTTGAATAAGAGTCCTCTATCTACATTCTTTGTAAAAGCACACATTGAGGTGATTACTTCTGTTGTTACCGATCCTATCAGCGATGACTGCGGCTTCATGTAGTTGGTATTAGCTGTTCAAATCAACACAATCAAGTTAGTCTTTTGCCTATGTACAAGTGTGGACGCTTTGACATTCCAGCAGATTAGCACCTAACTGCAAAAATGTGCTCCACATGGAGTTCTGAATCTGCAGGTTTATTATTTTTTTATTTTTATTTTTATTTTTTATTTTTTGAGTTGGAGTCTCACTCTGTCACCCAGACTGGAGTGCAGTGGCCGCGCCCGGCCACCGCAGCCTCGACCTGCTGGGCTCTGGCGATCCTTCTGCCTCAGCCTTCCAAGTAGCTGGAACTACAGGCGTGCGCTACCACGCCCGGCTAATTTTTCGATTTTTATTGTAGAGAAGAGGTCTCGCCAAGTCGCCCAGGCAGGTCTCGAACCCACGGGCTCAGGCAATCCACTCACCTCAGCCTCCCAAAGGCGCGGGATTACAGGCTGAGCCACCGAGCCCGGCTTGAATCTGCAGGTTTAAAATAATTTTTTTTCATAAGGACTCTTTCCAATATGCAATATATGATTTTTAAAATACATTACAGTAAACACAAGGTTTTCATCGATGCCAGTCATAATCAATGTGCAAATTGTGTGGAATAAAGGAAACACCATGGTGCAGCCTTTCCTTGAACAAATTCTTTCATCTCCCTACTTTGGGTCATATATTACTTCCTAGAGGCAGCAAGAATCATATTTAATGACGTTCTATTTAGGACTGTCTTTCCCTAAGCTTAAATTTTAAAGGAAGGGCAGAAGCCAACTGCACCTGAGTAGTTATCTTCCCCTGCATAGAAACTTACAGGCCTCTCAAAAGTCTGACTTTGCCATAGTCAACACATCATTTATCACTAAGATGACAGACCAAAAGGTGTCTCTTTGCTTTATCTTATTTGGAATATGCTTGTTCGTGGAGAGAAGAAAAACAAAGCAAAACCAAAAGAATAAAAAGGCTTATTTACTAAATTGTTTTTGCTAGTTGAGATACCTTCAACTTCTGCAATTAGTTTCAACAAATTCTGCTGAAAAGTTTAGGTTTATGGAAGTCACCTCCATAACCTAGGTTAAAATCTCTTCCAATGTGTTTGAATTAGCAGAATGCCAAGAAAAATCAAAATTGGATCTAATGGCTCGATGCAACTGAGACTTGTTTGCTCCTGAGTAGGCAAAGACTCATTTAAAATTTCTTCAAAAGTATAATTTCTAGCCGGGCTCGGTGGCTCAGCCTGTAATCCCGCGCTTTGGGAGGCTGAGGTGAGTGGGTTGCCTGAGCCCGTGGGTTCGAGACCTGCCTGGGCAACTTGGCGAGACCTCATCTCTACAACAAATAAAAAAAAATCAGCTGGGCTCGGTGGTTTAGCCTGTAATCCCACGCCTTTGAGAGGCTGAGGTGAGTGGATTGCCTGAGACTGTGGGTTCGAGAGCCGCCCGGGCAGCGAGACCTCATCTTTACAATAAATAAAAAAAATCAGCTGGGCGTGGTAGCGCATGCCTGTAATTCCGGCTACTTGGAAGTCTGAGGCCGAAGAATCGCTAGAGACCAGCAGGTCGAGGCTGCAGTGGCCGGGAGCAGCCACTGCACTCCAGTCGGGGCGACAGAGTGAGACTCCAACACACATACACGCAAAAATATAATTTCTTATTATTTACACACACACTCCCTTGTCTGTAAATTGAGTCAACAGTCAAGCCCTGTACAAAAGAGCATATTCGTAGTCCTTTAGTTACTTCAAAAATCTTCTGGCATAGGAATTGTCATTTTGCTATTGAGGAAACAGGTTCTAAGATTAGATAGCATACCTAAAATCACTTGACTCACCAATCTGGAGCTCCCTCTAAGGGCCTGCATGCCCTTGCGGGTTATGTTCACGTTTAAGGTGAATTCCACCGATTATCTAACAGAGAACTGTTATGGCAGTCCCAGGTAAACTTACTGTACGTAGATTTGCTTCTTGAGGTTACAAAAAAGGGGGAAAGTAAAAATCCAATTCCTAAAACAACATGTGTAGTTAGTCAGTCACTTCAGAAAGATATCAATGGATAAGGTTTCTCTCTTGAAACGTTATGGTGTGCAAGCACTAATTACTAATCAGGCTCCTCCCCCTCCACTCCCAGCTTAATGCGCTGACATTACTAGGAAATGCACAAAACTCAAGTGCATCTGCTTACAGATGCCCCTGCTTCTTAAAATGACATCGGGTCCCACCGACTATTTTGCTAGAGTCTATTCAGAAGCTCATTCTATTACTCATTTGATTCAGGGGCGTTGGATTTGTCTTTAGTGGACTAAAAGCATGGAAAGAACGGATCAACTTCTCCGAGTGTTTGGGGAGTAAAACTGACTACACCGAATCCGCAAACCCCCCCCGCCCCCTTTCCCACGAAGGAGGACTGGAATTCCATGCGGCGGGGGTCGGGGGCGCTTCTCTTGAGTTATCCAGCTGCGGGGGACTTCTGTGACCCCTCAGGGATATCAGGCTGAAACTGTGCCTTATCCAATGATAAAGGTGCAGAAGGCTCTTCCACCCCCAAGTCGCGAGCGGACTAGCCTATTCAGAGTACCCTCTACGCACTTCAGGTCCTGGTGGTGCCGTCTCTCGGCTGCAAGAGCCCTTAGGAAAGAGCTCAAGGAAGAGACATCAAGTGTCAGTGGCTACCACGCCTCCCACGTTACAGTGCTTACTTCCTCCTGGGGGGGCGGGGGGCACAGGCGGGGACACCAAGGCCCTCCGGGTCCTGGAGCACGGAGTTCGGGTTCGCTTTACCCAACTGGGAAGCTGAGGAAGCGCACAGAACTCGGGCGACGCCGCTTTTCCGATCTCCGGACGCGCTCTTCCGCCTGCGCCGCCCTCGCCCCCGCCCCTCCGCGCAGCACACAGGAACCTGCGCCCTGGCTTCTCCCGCGCTTCTCTCCGGCGGCCCGCCGGGGCCTGCCTTTTATAGGCACCGCAGCCAATGAGCGCTCTTCTTTCCTTCGGCCCGCCCGCCCGGCCAATCGCCGCGCCCCTTGTGTAATCTTCGGCTCCTCGGCTGCTCTCGGCTATTTTCGCTGTTGCTGGCTTTTTCAGGGGCTGCTCGCTCGCAGCCGGAGACGCTGCCTTTTTTTCCGGGTTCGGAGCCGTTCCGGATGCTTTAGGCTGCCGGATGTCTGATCTCCGGATAACTGAGGCGTTTCTGTACATGGATTATCTGGTAGGTGCGGGGCGGGGGTGGCGTGTCGCCTCTCGAATCTCGGCGTGCCGGATGGCCCCCAGCCTTGAGGCACAGCCTTTTTGCTTTCTTTCTTTGGGATAGGATGCCTTTGGGGTTCTCTCTCCCGCAGCCGGCTTTGGAGCTGTGCCTGGGACCCAGAGGGGCAGCAACCAGGACGGCTGGGTAACTGAGCCGACAGGTGAAGGTGCGGCCGGGGCCAGCCGAGCTGCGGGGCTAGGGTCGCGCTGGGGCTGCTGGAGGGATGGGGCCGCCGCGGCGGGGCGTCTCCTGCCCGCGGTCGGTTTCCTTGCTTCCCTCTGCGCTCCCCGCACAGGACTTTTCTTTTCCGGGAAGCAGGAGTTTTCCGCTCTCCCTTTAGCAGGACTCCAGGTGCTATTAAAGAGCGATAACCAGAATGGCTCACTAAGTGCCCGGCCGCCCTGGTCATTTGGTTGTTATTAGATCTCTAAAGCTATGACCTCGGCCGTGGCGGGGTTTTAAAAGCACATTACCATCCAGTAGACGGGACTAAACTCACACCGCAAGCTGGCCACAACAGGACTGAGACGGGGCAGGTATTGCCCCAGCATTCTGGTCGTGGGTGCGTGCCTGCCGTTGTTGTCTCGTGCACGGATCGGAACCCGGTTGTTTTTAGGCCAGACTTGGGCTACGAAGTTTAGGTGGGAAAAGTGTCAGCACAGTGCTGGGACGGGACATCACTTAAAAAATGGACTTGTGTGTGTCTGTGGAATTATGCAAGCACCATGTTTTGTTCCAGAAATTATATTTCCTCAGAGCTGCTTGTTTGCGGTTAAGGGGATTCTCGTGTCCGTGGGCCGTGTTTGATCCTATACAATGACTGTGTTTATCATGTTAGGCAGAACCGCTATTGCCATGCAGAGTTGAAGCAGACGGTTGGAAACATTGACCCTCCTGTCATCTTGTTGGACACATGCACTCGGTTTTCAGCTGCAGATTGGCCTGGCAGGGATTTGCCAGTGCCTTCTAGGAATTACACTTAAGACTGTGCAGAGCAAGTCTGTGAATGCATTCATGATCAAGAAACGTTGGGCAGGGGCTGGTTTTGTAATGTCATCTGTGTATTTGGGCTTATTTTAGTTTACACGAAGAAAATATTTCTTCTAACGCTTCAGAGCTTGATGTCTTGTGGGGAAGGGTGGTGACTGCAGTCAATGCACGACCTTGTGAATGGAGTTGAGTCAAAAATTCTGAGTTGAAATTCTGTTTTGTTATTCATTTGTTGATGGCAGTAACTTCCTCTATGGTTGTGATGAAGGGATGTTATCCATCCACCACGTGTAGCTGGCCAAGGGGATTATCTGACTATGAACATTCTTTAAAATGCAAAGTGCCCTGTAAATTAAGAGGGTTGCCAAATATGTCGGAAAGATTATTTTCTAAGTTAAATAATGGATTAATTTGTCATTTATCTTATAAAATGCAGTACATGTGGGCGGTCTTACAGTCTGCCCACATTAAAGCCAAAGTTGGTTGAAGATAATTACCAAATAGGAAAGGATGAGATTACCTAAACTACTGAAAGCTAATTTGGAATACTTAACAAAGTAGTGCTTAGAAAGGAAATCAAGCGGTTCTGATGTTTTAAAATGTATTGAGTGTTTTAAATTTACAAATTGCTTCACAAAGCTGTCTGGGAGGTGCCAAACCCACTAAACCAGTTAGTGAAAACAATATTGATAACTTGGGTTAATTACTCAGGTTAAACTCTAGATTAACATCGTCTGAGGGTGGGTGGATGAATGTGAGCTCAAGGTTACCCTAATAGCAAATTAATTTCTTTGTCGATTTACTAACAGCTTTGTGTCAAAATCAGTGGGCCCCAAATTTGACTTGGCCTTTTTGTTTTACCATGGCCCCATGCACTTTAGTGTTGCTTTTGTATTTTAAAAAAGTGATTTTAGGCCGAGTACGGTGGCTCATGCTTTGGGAGGCTGAGGTGGTGGGATTGCTTGAGTTCAGTAGTTAGAGACAAGCCTGGGCAACATAGCCTGACCTTGTCTCTACAAAAAAACTAGCTTGGCATGATGGCACTCTCCTGGAGTCCCAGCTACTGTGGAGGCTGAGGTGGAGGAATCCCCTGATCTTAGTAGGTTAGGACTGTGGTGATTGGTGATCGTGCCACTGCTAGCCTGGCAACAGAGTGAGACCCCCATTCAAAAACAAAACAAAAAATTATGATTTTGTCACTTAAACTAAGCCTTTAACATTCACAAATGTGATGAAAAAGTCTCATAATCATCATTGGCTACTCTTTGGAGGTGAGAACCATTTTTAAAAAATGGAAATAGTTTTGTTTCTGTGACTGTGCCAAGTATCCCCAGTGAAAAGATTTAAGAAAATCCTTCAACATTAAACTAGACGGAAACAAACAGAAACAACCACAGAACAAAAAACTAGCCCTCCTGAGGTGACCTTTTGTGTTTACCTTTTGCTTATAGACTTTCAGAGAAAATGATGTGCCTCACATCATTCTTTTCTTCCTGCCTTTCAGATTGACCAGTTTGCTTATGCATAATCTTTGTGTGGTGTTTATTAAAAGCCTTGTATCTGGAAAATAAAAGTAAATTTGTTTGCCTCTGTTATCTTATTTTTTAAATAAATCAATTCCTTGCCTTCTTTTACTTACCTTCCAGAAAAGTCTCCTTTCATTCCAAGTTTGACTCCAGATTTTGCTGAGTGGACTAGAGTAAGCACCTTTTCATGCATGTGACAGGAATAATGGTGTAGGTCACTTTTTCTTTGTAATCAATATTTGGCTTTCTTGTATTGTTACTGTTGGAAGCTGTGAGAGAGAGCTGTGTGTGTATGTATTGTCCATTGTTCTTTGGGCTGGATGTCATGATGTAACCTTTATTTGGAGGTGAGAGGAAAGGAAGAGGAAGGAGAGAAAGGTGGAGGTGCCATTTTATAAGAGGACTAATCCTTTTAATAGGGTTGAGATATTAAAACAGATGAAGAAGCTCTCTGATTTTAGAGGGTGATGTAGATTTCTTAAATGTTCTCAGTTATACGTGACAGCCAAGAGGCAGGATCAGTACTTTGAATATTTAACATAGGGTTTTATTTATTTCAATTCAGGGAAATCGTGGTAATTTGCTAATCCTAAATAATTACATGTATTTCCTGGTGTGGTACCTGACTTGGTTCCTCGTATGTAGTTAGGTCCCAGTGTTTTACTTGTTGATTCAAATGAATATGAGATGGAAAGAAAAAATCTTTCTCTCACCAGCTTCTAAACTGAGACAAGATAAAATCTGTTTGGATTAGGTGTTTTGTTCTGGAGAATGCAGAATGTATCCTTTACTCTTAACTTGCAGATTATCAGGGTATAATGTGTTTAGCATGGGTGGCAATTTAAACATAAAAATCTCTGTTTTCCTTTCACTAGGTGAATCTTCCTGGGGGTGTCACACACCTTTCCCTCTTTCTTGATGGGATTTAAAGGCCATCTTCACACCTGTCAGATCTATGAGAAACTTTTAGATGCTGTTCAACAGGTAGTATCAGCCTCTTTTTTTTTTTTTTTTTTTGAGTTGGAGTCTCACTCCATCGCCCCGACTGGAGTGTAGTGGCACGCTCTCGACCACTGCAGCCTTGACCTGCTGGGCTCCAGTGATCCTTCCACCTCAGCCTTCCAAGTAGCCAGAACTACAGGCGTGCGCTACCATGCCTGGCTAATTTTTGATTTATTGTAGAGATGAGGTCTCACCAAGTTGCCCGGGTGGGTCTTGAATCCGTGGGCTCAGGCAGTCCTCTCACCTCGGCCTCCCAAAGCGCTGGGATTACAGGCCGAGCCACTGAACCCAGCCAGTACCACCCTCTTATTCTTTCTTCTGATAGGTGGAGCTAGTAAGACAATGTCCACAACTTTTTGAATAAGGTAGGAAAAAATAGTCAAGATATGATGAAAGAGAAAAACATATCTGGGTTTTCCTACAAGGCTGGATAAGATCAACTATGAGTTTCTTTTGAGTTCATAATTTCTTGTCTTGGTTTGTATATGTTGACTGGTCTGGATTTTACCTTTTCCCCCCTTGTGCCATTAAAACAATAGCAATAAAATTGGTTATACTTTGTAAATGCCTGTGATGATTAAATGAGATACTGGAGGGAAAGTGATTTATAAACAATGCGTTGCTTTTCAAGTATAAAATGTTAATGTGTTATGGTTATGTTGCTGATGTTTTTCCTACACCTCCAGTGGAATGATTGTCATTGTCTAATAGGAAGTATTGGGCTGCCTTATAAACTAGGCTCAATTTATGGGCAGACTGGGCATGGTAATCAGCAAGCAGGAAGTCGCAAGTCTCTTTTGATGCTCTTGTAATACCTGTAAAAGTAAAAACACATTCTGATATTTTTTATTAATCCATTCAGCAAATATTTTTGGAACCTCTACTTTGTGCATAGCCCTGAAAGTGATGGGGGTGAGCCCTTAGCTGTAATGTCCCCCTTGGCTGCAGGACTGGCAGGCATGTGGCTCTAGAGGAGCCTATGGCAGGACAGGTTGAGGAGGGCTTGGGAGGAGGCAGCATCTGATGTGCTGCTTTGCTTTCTAGTACAGTCCCCTCTTTTGTGTTTCTTTGTTTTATTGTGAACTGAAATGTAAAGTTAGACTTGAAAATGTAAGTAAAAAATGCTCAATTAGTCTTCGATGCTAATTGTCAACTAATGCTCGTTGTGTTTATATACACTAGTCCTTCCTTATAGGAGGATTAACTTTCTTCAGTTTCAGTTACCCACAGTCAACTATGGTCCCCAACTAGCTGAGTACAGTACAGTAAGGTATTTTGAGAGAGAGATGCCATTTTCACATAACCCTTATTATAGTAATTTGTTATAATTGTTCTATTTTCTTATTAGTTATTATTGTTAATCTCTTACTGGGCCTAATTTATAAATTAAACTTTATCATAGGTATGTATGCATAGGGAAAAACATAGTGTACTTTGTTAGTA